CCCCTCCCGACCAGCCATAACTGGGGGAGCTGTGGTCCTTACCCCCCAGGGGGAACCCATCGCCTCGACGATCTCTCGAGAGGGGTGTCGAAATCAATGGGTCCCCCAGGGGGTAAGGACCACAACTCCCCCAGTTGTGGCTGGCCTGCCCTCTCCCGAGGCCCCCGGGGCCACGAGTCCTCGTAAAGGAAAAAAAAAAAAAAAACGAGTGATCCGAGCCCCGAGCTTCTACGACGGTCCAGGCAGGCAACCCAGGCCGCCAAGATGGCCTCGAGACGGTCCAGGATACCTCCGAGAGGGCCCAAGGTGGCCTCAAGACGGCCCAGGATACGGCGGGTTCGTGTCGTGTCGACCGGCGCGTTGGTTGCTGACACCGCGGAGATGGTTCAACCTTGAACGGTCGGCCGTGTCCGAAACGTCAGATCGCTCAACATCGACCGATGCGAGGTCGCTGGCGGCGTTCAACGTTGAACGTCCGCAGCGGGGTCGCCGCCGGTCGACACTACGCGAACCTACCGTACCTCCAAGCGGGCCCGAAGAATCCAAAAAGCATGGACTGTCTGTTGGTTGTTGCAGGATGCTCGCAGTCTTGCCTTCTCGGGTTTCCGTCAGCTCAAGATGGCCCAACGAGCCTCCGAGATGACGGCCCGCGGCTGGCTGGGGAGGGCCCCCGGCGGGAGCCAAGACGGCCTCAGAGGGCCCCTCGACGGCCCCAGGCGGCGCCAAGAGGGCCCCACATCGGCCCCAAGGCACCCGCACGCAACACGGCCAACAGAGCCCCAGACGGCCCAAGGGAGCCCCAAGGCGGCCGAGGAGGGCCCCCAAGACGGCCCAAGAGGGCCCCAAGGGAGCCCCAAGACGGCCCCGCAGGAGCCCAGGTCAGTCTCAAGACGGCCCAAATGAGGTCCATGAGAGCTCCTCGAGAAGTGAAGACCACGGATGTCCTCCGGTTCCTCTTCCTCCTCCTCCTCCTCCTCCTCCTCCTCCTCCTCCTCTTCCTCCTTCGCCTCCTCCTTCTCCTCCTCCTCCTCCTCCTCCTCCTCCTCCTCATCATCATCATCATCATCATCATCATCATCATCATCATCATCATCATCATCATCATCATCATCATCATCACCATCATCATCATCATCAGCAGCAGCATCATCATCAGCATCGTCATCAATATCATCACTATCATCAACAACAACAGCATCATCAGCAGCACCACCACCATCATCGTCGTCATCATGATCATCACCACCATCCTCGTCCCCGTCCTCCTCATCATCCTCCAGCTTATCACCATGACAATCACCATCATCATCAGCAACAACATACTCATCCCCATTACCAACATAATCATCAACATCATCAGCGGCATCATCTGGATCAGCATCCTCATCATCATCATCATCATCATCATCAGCAGCAGCATCATAGTCAGCAGCATCCTCATCATTATAATCATCCGTATAACAATCATCATCATCAGCATCAGCATCAGCATCATCATCAGCATCAACATCAGCATCATCGTCATCATCATTATGATAAACATAATCAACAGCAGCGTATCCTCACCATAATCATCATCAGCATCATCATCACCACCACCACAATCAACATCATCATCAGCATCATCACCAGCATCATCATCATTGCCACCATCAGCAGCATCACCAGCAGCAGCAGCCGCTTCACCACCACCACCATCAGCATCAACATCATCATCAGCACCATCAGTATAACCGTCAACAGCACCATCATTATCAGCACCATCATCAGCATCAGCATCATCAGCATCATCATCAGCAGAAGCATCATCAACAGCATCAGCAGCATCACCATCGTCAGCAGCATCATCATGAGCATCACCATCATCATCGTCATCAGCATCGTCATCAACAGCAGCAGCAGCAGCATCACCAACATCATCAGCATCATCATCATCAGAACTACCAGCATGCGTTCCATCCACATAATCCGCCACAATACTCCTCATCCGCTCCTTATTTGATTCGTCATCCCATCACCATCGTCATGATTGTTCGCATCGATTTGAACAGCTGCCACCGAGACTGCTGGACTGGCACGGTAGCGGGAATTGCCACAGGCATCTGAATAGGTTGCCCCAGTCGATCCACCAAGTTATAACGTGAGACTTGTCACACGGACCTGCTGCCTGTCTTGTGACGTTGATCTGAAAACATGGTGCTGCGATCACTGTATCCAATGATTCCTGCAATCAAGCAGTGCACATCCAGGGATGAGACGAGGCTGTGCAAAAGCAGAGACACGCAATGGTCATTTGCGAGAATGCACCCTACACAAGTACAGTCTGAACTGCCTCAGATGCAACGACGAAGATTATGTGTCCAAGCAGCGGGGCAAGTACGAGCACAGAGGGCGCATGACAGAACGTCACCAGGTCACCCCAGTATGAACTGCGCCCTCACTGGATAGATCAACGTCGTGCTGCGCGTCCCTCTGTCCCTGGTCTCTGGCATCCCACCTCCCCATGATAGCTGACGGTCCTCGAACCAGAGCTTCACCGTCGCCTGCTGCGGCTCACCACTGCCGTCTGTTGGTTGGGCACCAGGTCCTCTCAGAGCCAAGCGGGCGGAACCACACAAGGGTGGCCTACGGTCGGGAACTGTTGCTTCGCGTGTCGCGGCGGCGGGCCTGGCGACACGCTATGCCCAGCGAGCTGGTAGCGTGGCGCTCTCCGCTCCACGGGGCGGGAGGCTGCGAAAGGCTCGGGCCGTTGATGTCTTGGGACTGGGGCGTGATTGGCGTGTCGCGCCGAAGCGTGGCAGGGCAGAACTGGCAGCGCGACGCACCGAGCAGAAGTTCCTGGCCGCACCTTCCCTGAGGCAAGCGCCCTCCGCCCCAGCACGGCCGAGCCACGTCCCAGGCCCAAGCGGTCAAACTAAGAATCCCTGCCCTAAAGATGCAGGAGCGTGTCGCCCGTGGCACCTCTGTCCGAGTGGGCCCGCTCTGCTACGACGCAGAGGGACACAGAGGAGCGGTTGATGAAGGGGCCCTGGGACACACAATTAACTACACACAAGTAACAGGATTCCCCATCTGTTCCCATATGTTATGGTTTTTTGTCTTCCCCCACACTTCCCACATTTTCCCATCTTTTCCTGGGAGTCGGCGATTAATTGTGTCTGTGTGTTTCTTTCCCTCCTGAGTTGAGTAGGGCTGGGGGGTTCAGGTCTGCAGAACACCCCAAACGGACGTCAAGGGGCGCAACCAACCTGTTCGGCCAAGCCGAAATGCATGCACCACACCTGGCGTCGAGCCAAAACTTTGGACACGAGCGAAGCGTTGGATTTTGCATCCTTTCGCCAGCTTGACAAGCGAGGCGTTTGACCACCTCCTTGACGTCCCTTTCTTGGTGGTCCTGCAGAGGCAAAGGAGCGTCACTGGGTAAAGGGGGACTGGAGCAGAGGATGTAGAAGAGGGGACATGTCGACCCCTATCCCAGGCTTCGTGGGGTTTTCGAATGAACCAGAAGTAATGAGGGGCCCGACCCTGGGATATACGAGGGGCAGGCGTTCATCCATAGCCCCCTGGGGATGTATCCCAAGGATCCCCTCCTTTTCTGAGCGGCTTCACTGTTCGCCGAAGAGTCGGGGGCTCGGGGAGAAACATCGCCTGCGAGAACGGGGAACGGGGCGGAGGACGTAGGTTCCCTGGGCTGCCCCGGTCTGGCGTCGTGCCCCCCGCGCATCCCCCCTTCCTCGGAGAGAAAGCGGACCCCCGCTCCTGCGGCCCACGTGCATTTCATGCTGGGCCCGCGAGAGCCGCCCCGAGCCGTGCCTTCCCTGCAGGTCTCGCTGCGGGCCTTCCACGCCGCGAGGGATAGGGGAACAAAAAGACAATGCCACATACAGATATTGACGCTCGGAGGCCCGCGCGGATTTCTCGGATCGGCGAGGGATAGGGGAACAAAAAAACAATGCCACATACAGATATTGACGCTCGGAGGCCCGCGCGGACTTCTCGGATCGGAGCGAAAAGCTGGGGGGCACCTTGGGCCGAGGGCACCTTCAGCAACCCCAGAAGCGGGGCGAAGGCCACGGGTCCTCGCTGGGGAGCTCGCGGCCACCACGCGGGCCGCCCCTCGTCGTGCGTTGCCCCCCCCCTCGCTGCTCCCCCGAGTCTGCTCGCCCTCCTCCTCCCCCTTCCCTCTTCACCCCACCACTCTCCTCCTCCTCGCCCAGGCTCTTCAGCGAGACCCAGGAGGAGCAAAAGAAGGCACGAGGAAGGAGGAGGATGAGTAGGAGGCGGAGGAGGAGGAGGAGGAGGAGAAGGAGGAGGAGGAGCAGCAGCAGCAGCAGCAGGAGCAGAAGCAGGGACACCAGGAGGACCAGCAGGAGACGGATGAGGAGGGAGAAGTGAGGAGGGAGAAGGGAGAAGAGAGGAGGAAAGGTGAGGAAGGAAGAGGGAGGGGGAGGAGGAACGAGGAAAGAGGAGGGAGGAGGGACGATGGACGAGGGAAAAGGACGGAGACGCAGGGAGGAACGGGGGAGGAGTCGCCGCTGGGCAGAGCCCGCGAGGTGGCCGCGTGTCCCTCTCTCCGTCCTTCCTCCTTTCACCCTCCCTTCCCACCAGTGCCTCCCCTCCTTCCCTCCCTCACTCCTTTCCCCTCTCCCCTCCTGAAGAGAAGAAGAAACAATGTGATGAGGCCTGAGGCCTCCAGGGCGTTGTGGCGAGACCTGCGGCCTCGCATGCTGCTGCTCCTCCTTCCCGCGAGGACAAGATGCTCGTGTGGTCTTGGCCGAGACTCATGGCGATGTCCCTGTCCCTCCCTCCCTCCCTCTCGGGAGCGGCCAAGAGGGGGGGGGTCCAAGAGGGGGGGGTGCAAATCATGACCGGCGGCATGTGCGCGGCCCAGCGGGGGGGCCAGGGACGTAATGAAATAAGGAGAGGCGCCATGAAATCTGGGGAAATATCACGGCCCCCGCCATGATATCCACCCCCCCCCTAGTCATCACCCCCCTCTTTTCCGCCCCCGACCCTCCTGCCCGGCGCCCTCCACGCACCCCCTGGCGCTCGGCACGGCAGGACCCGCACGGACTCGCCGGCGCCGCGCGGTCCTTGGGTGGGGTCGCCTGCCGCGGCGGGGGGGGGTGGGCGGCAGGGCGGCGAGCCTGGCCGGTGCTGGGGCTGCCAGGGCCAAGGCCGGGGCCGAGGCCAGTGCTCAGGCCAATGACCACGTCAAGGCGAGGGGGAGGGGGTGGGGGAGGGGAGGGAGAGAAACGGATGGAGGGGAGAGAAGGAGAGAGAGAGAGAGAGAAAAAAAAAACAAACAATACAATTAAAAAAAGGGAGGGAGGGAGGGAGTTAGGGGGGAAGCAGGGACGGGGGAGGGGAGGAGGAAGGGGAGGGCAAATGGGGGAGCGAGGGAGGAAAGAAGGGCAGACGGAGATAGGCTCGGGTGGAGGGTGCATCCTGTACTTGACGCCCCCTCTTAATCTTGGCAGTGGCCTTGGCGTCAGCCGCAGCCTTACTCGGCCTTGGTCTTGTCCTGGGCTTTGGCGATGTCATTCAAGCGGCGCCGTCTCTCTCCAAACTTCTCCGACGAACCGTCCCCCTCCTCTTTCTCTCTGGTATGTATGGGGAGAGAGAGAGAGAGAGAAAGAAAGAAAGAAACAAAAAAAGAAAACGAACAAACTCAAAGAAACACGATTACAAACAACGATAACAGAGAAAACATGACATGAAGCACAGGGGACAGAGGGGGGAGAGGGAGAGAGAGAGAGAGAGAGAGATCTACATACTTAGATGGTGAACAGGAGAAAAATACGGGGAGAGAGAGGGAGAAAGAGATGGGGGGGCGCATCGGCGAGGGTGTAGGTGTAGGACTGCTTCAAGTTGGAGGTCCGAAGGGGGGCATTCGAGGGACTAAGACTCTGATGCCTTCTCTACCTTCGGGGACGGCCCTACCAGATCCTCCCACCTCACCAGGCCCAGGCGCTGCCGCCACCAAGCCAGAAGCGGTGAGTGCCACAGGCTGGACAGGCATCAAGACTGAGACGTAAATGCACCATTCAAAGTCGAGCACGGCCAAGCATCAGACACAACCGAAGGCAACGCACAAAAATAGTTGAAAGCCGAGCGACTGCTCACGACATGCTGACGCTCCCCAAGTAACCCAGACGCGATCGGCTCGTCTGCTCGCGAACCGCTGTGTCACCGCAGGGATGCTATCGGATGCGAGGAGTCGACGCCGAGCCCGCTCTCTCCACCTCGCGTGTCAAAAGGCCCTTCTCGTCTCCGACCTGCAGGCGCGGGAGGGCTCCGCAAGCCCAAACATCACACTAACAACAACAACAACAACAACAACAACAACAACAACAACAAAAAGGATAAGAATAATAACAACAACAACAACAACAACAACAACAACAACAATCATGTTAAGACTGTTTGCCCTTCTCTGCTCGAGTGTCCAATAACGCGTATTTCCCAAACCTTCGATACCCGCCTTCTTCGTTTTCGATCGAACCCCTTTTGGGGGGGAAACCTTTCTTCCCTGCAGGCCGGGCCCCGGCAAGCGGCGGGGCGGCCGCGGACCGTCGGCCTGGCCAGCGGCAGCGTCGGCGGGGCGGCCGCGGACCGTCGGCCCGACCCCAAGAGGGACGGACAGGGGACCAACCACGACGACGACGACGACGACGTCGTAGACGAGGGCGACGACGACGACGACGGCGACGACGAGCGAAAGCGAGAGCGAGAGAGAACGACAGCAGGGCCACAAGGACACGAAGTAGGGCACGAAGGGCGACGGCGGGGACACGAAGGGAATGCGTATGGGCCCACGAAGAGCGCGAACGACAGGAGGCCACGAAGTGCAGATAATGCGGGGCCACAGAAGGCAACTATGGGGCCACTGAGGGTAGCAACTGGGCCACGTAGGACAGTGAGGGGGACACAAATGGTGACAGCGGGGCCACGAAGGGCATGCACATGGGGCCACAACGAGCGCGACTCCTGGGTGCCTGGGAGTCGGGAACGCGGCGTTTGGGCAAATTGCAGGAAATTCCAACGCAAGGCCATTCTTCAGTAAGTTCCAAGCAAGTCTCCAGCGAGGGCGCGACTCCAGAGCGCCGGGAAAGCGATTCCTGAATAAATTGTAAGGAAGTCCCAAGCGAGAGCGCGATTCCTGCATAAACTGCGAGGAAGTCTCGGGCGGGAGCGGGGGTCCTGGCTAAATTGCAAGGAAATCTCAAACGGGAGCCGTTGTTGTTGTAACCCGGGGGCCAGGGGGCCAGTTTGAGCATCAAGACCTTCCCTGTCAAAAAAACAAAATGTGAGCGTCAAGGACTTTGATTGATAAAAAGCAGTAAACACTGGTGGGGGGATCAACAATAATTATTATTCAGAAATGAAAATTCAACCACAACAACAACAACAACAACAACAACAACAACAACAACAGCAACAGCAACAGCAACAGCAACAGCAACAACAACAATAATTTTAAGACTGTTCGCCCTTATCTGCTCGAGTGTCCAACAACGCGTATTTCCCAAGCCCTCGATACCCGCCCTCTTCGTCTTCGATCGAACCCATTTTAGGGGGTATACCTTTCTTCCCTGCAGGCCGGGCCCCGGCAAGCGGCGGGGCGGCCGCGGACCGTCGGCCTGGCCAGCGGCAGCGCTGATCGGCGGGGCGGCCGCGGACCGTCGACCCGACCCCGAAACGGACGGACAGGGGACCGACCACGACGACGACGACGACGACGACGACGTCGACGACGAGGGCGACGACGACGACGACGGCGACGACGAGCGAAAGCGAGAGCAAGAGAGAACGACAGCAGAGCCACGAAGGACACGAACTAGGCCACGAAGGGCGACAGCGGGGACACGAAGGGAATGCGTATGGGGCCACGAAGAGCGCGAACGAGCGGGGGCCACTAAGGGCAGATAATGCGGGTCCACAGAAGGCAACGATGGGGCCGCTGAGGGTAGCAACTGGGCCACGTAGGACAGTGAGGGGGCCACAAACGGCGACAGCGAGGCCACGAAGGGCATGCACATGGGGCCACGATGGGTGCGACCCCTGGGTGCCTGGGTGTCGGGAGCGCGGCGCTTAGGCAAATTTGAAGAAATTCCAACGCAAGGGCGCTATTCTCCAGTAAATTGCGAGCACGTCTCCAGCGAGAGCGACTCCAGAGCGCCGGAAGTGCGATTCTTGAACAAATTGTAAGGAAGTCCCAAGCGAGAGCACGATTCCTGAATAAAATGCGAGGAAGTCTCGGGCGGGAGCGGGGGTCCTGGCTAAATTGCAAGGAAGTCTCAAGCGGGAGCCGTTGTTGTTGTAACCCGGGGCCCAGGGGGCCAGTTTGAGCAGGAAGACTTTCCCTGTCAAAAAACAAGGTGCGAGCGTCGAGGGGCACACTTTGATTGAGAAAAAACAATATGCACCGGTGAGGGGGGGTCAACAATAATTATTCTTCAGAAGTGAGAGTTTAACAACAACAACAACAACAACAACAACAACAACAACAACAACAACAACAACAACAACAACAACAACACACAATAACCACAAGAAGGACAACACCAACACCAACACCACCACCAACAACAACAGCAACAGCAACAGCAACACCAACAATAACAGCACCAACAGCAACAACGACAACAACAGCAACAACAACTACAACAACAACTACAACAACAACAACAACAACAACAACAACAACAACAACAACAACAACAACAACAGCAACAGCAGTAGCAGCAACCGCAGCAGCATCAGCAGCAGCAACAACGACCACAACCACAACAACAAAAACAGCCACAACAACACTAAGAACAACAACACCACCACCACCACCACCACCAGCAACAACAACAACAACAACAACAACAACAACGACAACACCAACAACAACAACAACAACAACAACAACAACAACAACAACAACAACAGTAACAACAACTTTGGCAACCCCAGATGGAAGAGGGAGGGAGTCTGGCACCGACCCTCGGAGGGGAAGCAGACACAACGGCCATCAAGGCCCCCATCGGGCGGGGGGGGGGGGGCCGGGGCGGTGGTGCGCCGTGAGCGTCGTCCAGCAGTGGGTGAGGCTCGGGCGCGCCGCCGCCCGGGGGCCGCCTGCCCCCCCCCGGGGGGGGGAGGGGGAGGAGGAGGAGGAGGAGGAGGAGGAGGAGGAGGAGGAGGAGGAGGAGGAGGAGGCGGAGGAGGAGGAGGCGGAGGAGGAGGAGGAGGAGGGATCTCCGCTTTTCCTCTGAGGTCCCAGCCTGTCCACCTCGCTGGCCAGATCCTGCGGATGGGCTCGACGGCTCAGTGCTCGGCGGGCTGGGGGAGCGGTCAGCCGACCCGCCTGCGCAAGCGATGCATCGACACCGCCGGCGAGGAGAAGCCGATCGCGAGCTGGCCGCTCGAGAGGCGCGGGGCCCAGGGGTCCAGGAAACACCCAGAGTGGATACAGTCGGAGCGTTGACCTAAGGAACGAGTCTCCTTTTTTTCCATAAGTGAACCTTCGATCTCGCATCGAAAACAGAAGGAAAGCCTGAGGCAAGCTGTGAAACACTTAAGGAACGCGGAGCCCCTCCCCAACGAAAAGGGTTCCTTCTTCAGGGCCCCGACTGTAGGAGCCTGAGAGCCCCAAAATACCCCCGTTCGAGGACCAGTGGGCACCGACGCCGCCACTCCCCGAGCTGCTCCCGGAGCGAGCTCCGGCCAGGCTGCTGGGGCGGATCCGGCCCCCGGCGGCGAGGGCCCGCCGAGAGGCACCCCCCCAAAAAGCAAAAACGGAGGGCGGGAGGGCGTCGGTTATCGCGCGCTCGAGGGCCTCGGGGGCTCGAGGGGACGAGGAGCAGCTCTGCCAGAGTCGACGAAGCCAACACCTGCTGCAAACGCAAACGTGCGGAAGTCCGCGCGGTGCTCTCTTGGAGATGCGAAGGACCCCCTGGCGGCACCTCCGGCGCGGCCCCTGGCAAGCTCCACGCTCCGGCGAGGCGTCGCCAGCGCCGATCCAAGAAATCCGCGCGGACCTCCGAAAGTCCATGCTCGTGTTCTTTCCCCCATATCCTAAGATGGGGTTATTTTTCCTCACACTCACACTCAGACTCACACTAACTCATCGCACTCAGACTCGCTCATACTCAGACTCACTCATACTCAGACCGATTCGCACTGAGACTCAATCATATTCAGACCCTCTCATACTCAAGCTCAGTTACACGACTTCCTCCCTCAAACTCACCCATTCGCAGACTCATTCTTCCCTTCACGCAGACTCACTCATATCACTTCCTCACTCAGACTCACGCATGCTCAGACTCACTCGCGCATACAGACTGTGAAGGTTGTCTCATGCGAGGCGCTGGTTTCAGCACTCCAAAAGGGAAAAGCCACAGGCTATTTCACTCCTCCGTTCGCGCCATGATTCTGGGGATGTCTCAGGCGGCTTCACTGTTTGGGTGTCCAACATCCTTTGCTGTCAGAGCGAATTGAGAGAATGTCTCAGGTAGTACTCCAGGTGGGAGCCGCGAGGGGGCATCTCACTCCTCCGTTCGCGCTCACACGCTTACCTGAGCCCTCATTTCCTTTTGTGGTCCAATGCTCACCGCGATGAAGCAGGCATGGCACTTGGGCACCCTAACAGGGGAGCCGCCAGGGGTGGGGACACTCCAGGCTTCGTGATCAGATCGGGGGGGATTCTCGGGCGGTTTGCCTGCTTATGTTTCCAAGATGTATTGTTTTGCGCGGTCCAATGCTCACCGCGACGTAGCAAGCATGGCGTTTGGGCACCCTAAAGGGGAGCCGCAAGTGGTGGGGACTCCAGGCTTCATGATCAGATCGGGGGGATATCTCGGGCGGTTTGTCCGTCTGTTTCTGCCCCCCCAGACAGTCTCTTTGTTTGGTCCAATGCTCACCGTGATGAAGCAGGCATGGCCTTTGGGCACCCTAATAGGGAGCCGCCAGGGATGGGGACACTCCAGGCTTCGTGATCAGATCGGGGGGATATCTCGGGCGGTGTGTCTGTCTGTTTCTGCACCCCCAGACGTTTCTCTTGTTGCGGTCCAATGCTCACCGTGATATAGCAGGCGTGGCATTTGGGCACACTAAGGCGGAGCCGCCGTGTGTGGGGGCTCTTCAGGATTCGCGCTCAGATTGGGGGGGGATCTCTAATGCAGTTTGCCTGTTCCTGCACATCCAGGTTGTTATTTGGATGTGTGCGCTCGTCACTCTGAACAGTGTCAGGGGCGCTGAAGGCGTCCCTGGCCCAAGGTGCCCCTAGCTTTGCGCGCCAGAACGAGTCCCCTGGGGGGCCCTCTGGGCCTCGCGAGGGGCGCTCTGGAGTCCACATGGGCCTCCAGGGAAATCGTGGGAGCACCTTGGATATAGGGTTGGAATGGCCTTCGGGCCAAGCCCGAACCCGTTGGTAATTGAAGACCTCGGCTCGCCTGTGAAGGCGGCCGAGTTTCCATGAGGGTGAGCACTTCGTTTTTCATACCCGTTATCTATGCGGCCCGACGGGACGACGAGGGAGAGAAGAGGACGCGCGCGAAGCATGCGTTCACTCTTTTACCCTGAACGCCTCGCGAGCCCAAACGCTCGAGGCGCCTCTTTCTTCCGGGGGAATGAGGAGGGGAAGGCAAGAGCGGAGAGGGGAAGGCCAGAGATGGCCCCGCCGGGGCCGACCCACAAAACCCCAGCGGGGGGTCACCGCAAAAGCAGCACGCGCCCATTCCGAGGGGTAAACCGCACACCTTGGGCCAAGGGCATTTCTGGCAACACCCGACAGTGGGGTCGGGCGAAACGGGGGGGTCAGCGAATCAGCTCACGTGCGCCGGGAGGTGCCAAAGTGTCGAGGAATGCGCCTGGCGGCAGAGCTGAAACCATCTGCACAAAGCCGATGCCGGACCCCCCCGCGTTCCTCTCGGCGTCTCTCTCCCACTTCGATGGATGCGCCGCGCTGGTGGCCATCAACTGTGGGGGGGGTCCTCTCCCTGGTCGCGCGTCGTCGCCCGTCTTTCTCGCCTCTGCCGGCCTCGGCCTCTTCTTGTGCCTCCATCGCCGTCGTCGCACCGTCTTCCCCGCCGTCATCATCGTCATCGTCATCGTAGTCATCGTCATTGGCATTGTCACCGTCATCATCGTCATCATCATCGTCATCATCGTCATCGTCATCATCGTCATTGTCACGGTCATCGTCATCGTCATCATCGCGACCATCATCGTCATCGTCATCGTCATCGCCATCGTCGTTGTCTTCATCGTGATCATCATTGTCGTCGTCGTCATCGATTCCAGACCTCCGGAGGTCCACGCTGCGAGAGAGAGTCACGACGTCGGAGCTCTGGGAAGGGCGGGCACTGGGAGCCGCGGGAAGCCTGCCGCGAGAGGACAGCCTGCGGGCGCGGCGGGCCTTTCGCTCCGGTGACGCTCTTGCCCTGCGTCTTCGACTTGTTCGGGTTCCACTCGAGCACGAACTGAACCCGCGAGCCAAGCTCCAGCAT